ACAATGTTGAATAAAATTATCAATTATGTTATTTCCAGATGTCCAAGTGGTGAAAAGATTCTGTAATTGTAAACTAATACAACCTTCACAGAATTTATCAGAGTATCTTGTCAGTTTATGCTCGTTACATTCTTTTGGTTTGCCCCATTTATATATTGCATTATTTAATTCAAACTCATAAATAAACCTTTCCTTACAATATTCTTTTTCATTTTCAGAAAGCTCCTTTTTATTTTCGACCAATAAAAAAAAATAATCTTTTATACTTTCTCTACCAGAATTAACTGCTGCATTATCAAGTATTGTAAAATAGTAAATTATAAATCACGGGAAACTGATATATAAATTGGAGATGATTCACAAAATTACACGCAAATAAAATCGGAAAAACTGATCAAAACAGTTCAATTTATTCAAACACCAATAAAATAATTGGCTCACGGAAATATTGGAAATATAAATATTCCAACATTCTAAAATGTAACGGATTACAAAGTCTCAGAATAATATTTAAACGAAAGAATTTTACATGACTCATGTTGACTAGAAATTACTTGAAAATAATTCTACATGGAAGGTTTAAATAATGATTAAAGAATACATTAATTAGTATAATTTAGGATTTTAAAGAAATCGGAGAACTAGATGATAGAACCTCTAAAATGTATAAATACGTTGTAAATTTCTCTTTCATGTAATCTTTAGTTTTTTAGTTTTTAATTAACTCAAAGTTTTTTTAGTAAACTCAAATATTATAATAAATAAACCTTGACTTTGACCTTAACCTTGTCCTTGTGGTCTTCGAACATTATATTTTCATAATGATAATAAATCTATCCCTAACGACGAATTTATACTAATTCCGTGCATAATTATTTTCTCTTATTTTATATTTGTCTCTATTACCTAACAAAAAACAGAAATCCTTAGAAGGAAAATAATATGAAAATGAAGTCTTATTGTTGAACAATTAATCTATTTTTTCCTTTTAATTCTTTTTAGTAACATAAATCATAGCAATTATAAAGCCTAAGATTAAAGTTATACCTGCTATTCATGACCAAATAGATTTACCATCAAACTTTTCTTCAATCTTTGAGGTATTGTTTTTATATTCTTCAGCAGCTTTGGCAAAATCTTCATCTTTTAAATCTGGGACAGTATTTTTAAGGTGGTAGATATTGGGATCTTGAATATGTTATAATCAGGCATTACATAAATTTTCTTGGACCAAAATTTTTTACTGTGTTTTCAATAATCACATGATTATCATCAATAAAAATATCAAAGTCTTGACAGTTCTCTTTTATTCAATCTCAGCAATGGAGAAAACTTCTTTCATCAGGGTTATTTCTTGTTATTTTATAAATTCCTATTCTAGTTTGTGGAAATTTAGCAAAAGTTCTCTGAAAGATTCCAATTTGTTAAAATAGAAATGATGTCATCATAACATGACTTCCACAGTAAGTTGGTTTTGATTGATCAACAAGGTCAGAACTTCTTTGGTCCTCATTTACAATCTCACAACATAATATATTTATCCTACATAATTCTTTGCTAATAAATAAACTGATAAAGAGAAACCTTTCTGAATCCAGCAAGAAACCACAACCTTAATCACTGAGATACATCTTGAGGGGATGCCTTTGGGATATAGTTAATTAAATAAAATAGGGATCTTTTATCCAGGCAAGTAGGCCATAAGATAAAAGAAATTTTGACCATAAGTCAGCAAGTAGGCTGTGTGTCAATAGAAGGGACTATCCAGGTGAGTAGGCCATAAGATAGTGAAATCAACTGTAAGTCAGTGAGTAGGCTGTGTGTTGAATGAAAAATAACTTATTAAATAGGAAACTTGGATTGCACACTCACAATATTTAAGGGATAACAAAGTCATTCAATCCACTTCTTGCTCAAGAGCCAAAACAAAAAAAAGGTGATTTTCAAGCTTATATGTCAAGCATTATAGACAGAAGATATAATTATGAATTAAGGATACCGGCTGCAACTTTTGATGATGGTTGCTACCACCTTTGCGTCATATAAAAATGATTGCAACCACTGGTTGCAACCACCTTTACAACCATTTTGTTTCCTTTTTTGGATTGCGACATGGAACACTATTATGAATTGATTTTTGAAGAGACCTCATATGGGCCAAACTACCCAAACAATCTAAATCATATTGAAGAAGATAAAACAAGGTTAGCTAAATTTGGAAAAGTTTCATTTGAATCTTTTCATAATTTCAATGTATTCTTGATTCAATCACATGGTAAATATCATTTAACAACAAAAGTTATTGGATGTATACATAAATATTTTCTTAAAAAATTTTTTTTAATGAGCTATTTTTTTAATAGGATATTACATTACTTTATCAATAATGGATAATAAGTTTATACCATTCTATAGAATTCGTAATATGGAAAAGTCTATATTCCAACTATACATGCTGCCCAAATTGTTTTGGTGATTTCAATGGTCAAAATTATTCCAATTTTGATGGTAGAAAGTAGAAATTAATTATGGCACTCACTATTAACAATATAAGTGTAACACTCCTTAATGACAGTGTCAAAATACTTTGGGCTGCATGTATAATTTCAGCAACAAATGGTCCAAATTCTCTTGTACACATAAAAAAGGTATTCAAAATATTGTATAATTACCATTTATTGATTGAAAACTCATTTAAAGAAATTGACATATTTGACAAAAAATCTGCACTTCTTCAACCCCATACACCTCCAAACCAATTTCAAACCAAAATATTTGTATTTGAGACTCCATCATAATCATAAATTTTTTTTAATATCTATAATGAATTATATTTAGCTTATTAATTAAAGGCAATATAATAATAAAAAATGATATATTATTCTAACTGGTTGAATCTTAACTCTTGAAATTTATCATTTAATTGTGTTCACTTTGTCTGGTTTTGTTGCAGTATGCCCCACATAAAAAAAATTTATATCAAATATGTAAAGCAAAAGTAAAAACTATTTTTACCTACAAAGATATGAGCTGTTAAATTATCAGGTTTCTTGCTATTTAATGAGTGGTCCTGGATTATGGATATAAAATATATAAAATTCATATATTTAAATATATAAAATAATTAGAATGTGTTCAAAAGAATCTTCATTAATAATGTAAATTTATTTCTTCAATAACCACAATGGTAGATGCTGACTTATTTATTTTACTATATCCAGAAAAAAACTAACAGTAATTGTTACATATAATAGAAGGAAATTTATTATATTAATTTTTAACAGGTTAATAAACTATCACAGGTCAAAAAGTGGCAAAACAGCCATATTTAAGCCAAGAATTATTGAGGTGTATAAAGTTGGTGTCTGCAACTAAGAAGTTGCAATTTGGGATATTTTAATCTAGGTCACAACTGATTGCAGAATTTCAAATCAGTTGCAGACACTAACTTTAGAGACATGGTAGATTTTGAATGTTAAATCTGGGCATCCATTTTTCTGGTAACTTTATGATTATAATTTGCAACTATTATATAAAAAAATAAAAAATCATTTTTTCAATAAAAAATCTGCATGATTTTAGGCAAAACAATTCTGGATTAGAAAACTCGGATTTTATTTAAGATTATGGACTACTACTAATTGATGCTTATTCCGTCCTTTATTGATGGATCACGAACAAAAATGTTTTTTGACATTGTAACCAAAAATTAATTCCTATTTCAAGCTGAAATTTCCTAAAAGTAAAATTTACATATTACCTGAACGAAAAATCATGGCATAAATATCTAATGCAGCAAGGATTAAGTTGCCTAATAGATTTATGGGTGTTTATATATGTGTAGTATAAATATTAGTATTATTATTAGTATAATATTATTTATTTATAAATATCAGTTAGTCATTTATATTTCTCTTATTACAAACACAATTATTCTCTTTCTTCTTCAATTAAAAACTTATGTACTATGTAAAAGTCGTTCTACATCACTGATATTGATCAACCTATGTGAGACAGCTCAAGCGCATTTTATTTTATTATAAACATTAATATCATTGTGTTTTTACTTCAAAGTCAAAATAGAAAAATAAATATACCTCAAATTATAAATCACTCACGAACAACTGATCCTATTTGGAAATTTATTGAAGAAGTTGATGTCGAACAGATTTGCCAACTTTGTCATAAGCCTCGTATTCAAAAGAAACCAGAATTACCACAATTAAAGGGCATTTTGAGCAAATGCATTCACACAAACTATGATAAAATGATATGTTAGCAGGTTTGCGCTAAACCCGTTCGAGTGAATTTGGCTTTAAATAACATGCTTAAGAATATTTATATAACTACGTTAATATTATGTAACTTATACTTCGAATTTGATCGCTCAAAAAGCCTTTTTTTAAAAAAAGTTCAATCTGCTTGAACTCTAAAACTGGATTAAGACGAACCTAAGCTGAACTGACGAGCAATTTAACATCGCCATCATTTTAATCTAATACTTCACGTTCATCTTCCCCATTTTCATTTCTCGACCTTCTAACTCGCCAATCGCATTACAATTACTAATACCACATGTTTAACACCAACGATCTAAAATAAGGAAATAAATTTCCCGAATATAGATTTTTAAAAAGCCCCTACGAATAAGAATATATATATAAATTGATATAATAAAAAAAATACCATACTAATACTATACCATACCATACTACTATACTATATGTATACTTTATCATCAGGAAATGCAAACTTACGCGGGATCAAAATTGACCAGCATTATACGGACGTTATCAGAATGCTGGTTAATTTTGGCCTGGTGTAAGTTTATGTAATAGTATTTTTAGGTAACGACGGGAAAGTGTACCGAGAATGCGTTTTTCTAATTATATATGATATATGTATTCATTCTGCATCCATACAGTGGCCGACACCCATTCATAATTTCATAGATTTATTGTCTTATTTTAGTTATAAGCAAGCACATAATAATGACAATTTCAAACCCCGATTTGTTCGGAGCCTTAAGAAAAGGTAAGACAAAAAAGACAAGAATTAGTTAGCAGTAATAAACCAACAGAAAGTGAAAACTTTACCAAAAAGCTGTGTTTTGAATTGGAATTGAGTTGTTAACTTTGTGACAATATTTAACGTTGTTATGGTAATGGCAATGTAATCATATACTCGCAATAAACCAATCAGGTTTATTTATTTGAAATCTTTATAAAAATTTACAAATCTTAAATCTTGATATTTCTTTAATAAATCGCCTAATACTAATCCACCTCTTTCCCGAAAAAATTCTTCATTTTTAAATATTTTTATTGTAAAAGGTTTAGGTCCTCTCCAATTCTTCATTAAAGCATCAAAAGAATTAACATCAGAAATGATAACTCTATTATCAAAAGTTATAGTTCTTAATTTTTTTGGTAAGGTTTGATTTAAAACAGTCAATACTTTATCAGCATCCAATATATAATCCCAGCGAAATCCAGCAAGTTCAATGTCTTTTAATTTGATACAATTATTAAATAAATAAGTTAGCTGTTCATCTGCTTCATTTCTGTAAAATATAGATAAATATTCCAGATTTTGACAAATCTGTCCAATTGATTGAATCATTTCTCCCAAACACTTTTCTTTATTTAATTCACCACAAATATTCAGACATTTAAGATTTTTCCCATTGTTTTTAATAAAATCTAACAAATTTGACAGCTGTTTGTGACCAGAAATTGATAGAGAAAATTCTTCAATATTTGGAAGAAAAACAGATTTTAAAAATTTCAATCTTCCAGAATTATTTAATATCAAAGTCTTTAAATTTTGAAATGTTGGTAATAATAAAAAAATTGAGCTATTTTTCCCATTGCTTTGACAATAAACTATCGATCTCGAATGAATTGAGATTGCTTGTTTGAAATCTTCTGATAAAACCATGTCGTTTTCGATATTATAAGTATTATAAATAGTTAATGATTTAATTTGATTTTGTGCTTTAATCAATCGAGCTAGACTATAATCAGCCTTATTATTATCAAATGAACAACTGGCATTTCGTACTTCTATATTAATATATTGAATCTTTTCACAAGTATTTGCTAATTTATCAAAAAATTTAGTTCCATCAGAAAAATAGCAACTTAGCTCATTAAGATTCTGGAAACAAGTGTCAAATCTACAATGATTAGTCAATAATTCACACCCTTTATTTGCAGTTGCAAGCTCTCGAATAGTCGAATGATCTAAAACAAAGTCTAATAATCTTTCTTTTAACGTGTCAAATTTACTCTTATCGATCAACTTTCTTAAACGACAAAAATAAGACCAAAAATCTAGTTTCGTAGCAAATTTAGCGTAGTTGTATAATGGCGGGTTTTCCAATAAATCAAAATTTATTTTAATGTCATTAGATCATCATCACCAATCATATTTGTAATAAGGTAAAAAAAAATATAAACTTCGCTTGTGAGTATGAACAAGATCTTTATATTGTCTTAGAACTGATAATCTTTCTAAATGCGCTAACTTACCTTCCGAGAGTCTATCTGCATTAAATGCACATATAGCCCATTGTAGACAGTTATTATCCTTGGTCTCGCTGTTATCGGGATTTATTGTTCCCTTTGTGTTTGTGAGCTTTTTAGGAGTCTTTATATAGCTTCCTCTAGAGCTCCGAAACGAGTCGGGTCGGGTCATGATTTAATTGATCCGGGTTTGACCCGGGGCAAC